ATTTTTTTATATTAAATAAAAAATAATTTAAATTAACTTTTTATATTATTTTAATTATTCTATTATATTTTAATTTAATAATAAATTAAGTATTATTTTACTAAAAAAACTAAAATAAAATTTATTTTTTTAAAAAAAAGATATTTTATTTTATTTAAATTATGCAAGCAGATTATTCTAAATTTGATAAATATATATTTTAAATTTCATAAAAATTAAAATTAATAATTATAAAAATATTATTAAAAATATATAATAAAAATTTTTATATTTAATAATTTAATTAAATAAGACAAAATTAAAATTTTATTTACTAATCTTTTTATATCAGATCATAATTTGATTTTATTTAATTTTTAATTCTAAAAATTAAAGAATTAATTATTAAAATCAGTTCTAAACTGAATTATTTAAAATCTTAAATATTATATAATAATTTAAGATTTATAATTTTAAAAATATTAATAAAAGATATATTTATATTAAAAGAATAATGATATATAATAACTAATATATTAGAAAATTTATAAATAAAAATTATAAAAATATATAAACTATAAATTATTGAATTTTGATAAATTTTAATATTTATTATATTTATTAATAGATTTGATTTTCTAATATATTACTTTTAATAATTATATAATAAATTACCAAAATTCAAAAAATATAATAAAACATAGCAAAAATAAAATAATTTTATTTCAAAATAAAACCAATAATCTTGGAATTTTTAAATAAATCATTATAAATTATTTGCAATAAATAGTCCAGTTCTTAAAATCGTGGGAAACTTGATTTTAGAAAGATTTTTTCCATTTACATTCAGTCCTGCCGTGATAATCTGTCCTGGATTCACAGGCCCTACGCCTTCAGGAGTACCTAAGTTCATCATAGATGAAATATTATAGATATTAATAGTAATTTTCACAGAGCCAATATGATAGAATTTACCGGTCAAAAGTAAATCGCCTGCTTCAAACTTCATTATGGAACTAACGTGCTCGATTAATGTTTCAATGGGAAATATCATGTCTTTGGTATTTCCGTTCTGCCTAATCACATCGTCCAGCTATGGACATAATCATAAAATGTTTTTAAGCAAAACATCTAATTTTAAATAAAATGGAAGCAATCATTTTTTGATTCATTATTTACTTTTAACCATAAGTTCACATCTGACGGGTTTGTTATCGCCTCTTTTGGAATGAAGTCTCTTTGATATAAATTATTTTTAATATATAAATTATATTGATTCTCAAATATGTTCATATTTACCCAATCGGAAGAAAAGTGTCGAATCCTTTTGCTGTTGTCCATGGATATCCTTTTTTCTTTGCTGATTCCTTCAGAAAAAATAGTCTCAGTGTAATCATTTTCTTTAATAAGTCTGAATTAAATTTGGCTCATACTTGGAGATTACGAGCTGTCAAATCAATGCCAAGCGCGTAACCTATTTTTTACTATTAGTTATTATTAATATTAGCGAGCCAAGCGAGTTGATTGAATTTATCATACCAGAAATATAATCAAAAGCTTTTGACGCAGGAATATCACGTCCATCTTTGCCAATAACGACGCCCAGCTCAACTAGATTACATTTTTTATAGGAACGTTAATAGTCTCGACAAGAAATAGAGAGTCACACGATCATCAATCGACTACCTTCATGATGTACAACACATCCTTTAGGAATTTCCACATTTCCACCTTGTAACACGTATGATGTCGTTGGTTTTAAAAAGAAAAACGGGGATTTTGGTACAGGATTGGAAAGCTCTTTGGCATGTTCACTATTATTTAAAAGGCCCAGTACGATATTCTCCTAAAAGTTCGATGAGTTTCAAATTTTCCAAAATTTTAAGAAATTCTTACGTATAGTTTCTTGCTACTGCTACAATTTTTTTTCCAATCTTTGTAAAATTTCTCGTCATTGTTTGTTACACAGATGTCACCTCAGTAGATACGGAATATCTTTTTTTTCGGGGATTATAAAATTATCGAAAGGTGGCTTAGATGCTATAAACAGTGAGAAAAGTTCCAATGACTGCTTTAGATTTTGCGACTCACGACCACAGAATTTGCAGTGAATTACTGCGCAGCAATACAATAAACTGGACACTCTAATACTGATAATGATAAAGGTAAAAAAAACACTTGCATGGACATGAATTTATTGGTTATGGCATTACAGCTATATAGATAATAAACTTTCACTAATTAGAAAGAATAAATATGATTGTTCAAGAACACCTCCTTTTCTTCTCTTTGATAATAAAAGCCATTTTTTCTTCCTTTAGATTAAAATAAACTCTCATGCGGTCACTAACACAGGATGAGGTATATCACCGCCATTATGAACAGTAACTCGTCCTTCATCTTCTTCATCCATCATGAATTCTTCATGATCACTTTCTTCTTTCTTTTCACGTAATTTTCCGCCCATCATTACAATTCCAGCATGTCCCAAACAACATTCTTTAATATCTTCTAGCAATAATACACACAACCTTTTCGTTGGTACAATTAAATCAATTCGTGGACTAATATGATTCTGATTCTCATAGATTTTTAATTGTACGGATGGAATGCCGGCTGCAACTAGCAGATCATAGAAATTACGCGTTGAAGTTGGTGGATTGAATGAGTCCTGCTTTCAATTTAATTATTAATAAATAAATATTAATTAACAATCATTTGATTTGGATGATAACTAAATTGGATTGGAACATGAATTGGAAGAAAACGTGTTCTTCTACCTTTGCGCCATGGATCAATAAAATTTTACGAGGTAATGTCATTTTCAATCGGTCTTTATCTTTGACGCGATTTAAAGCGTGATTCAACAAGAAGGTTGGCGAACATTGGAGAAATGTTTCAGGTGTGTTACCTAAATATAAGATGTTGACAATATTTTATTCAATGAGCCTAACCAAAAAAATCCAATAGTTTTAAATGATAAATGCAATTACCCATAACTCTTGGAACAGCATGAACTTGTTCAAGTCCTAGTAGTAAAAAAATGAATGATCAATAACAATACACTAATCGCTTAATTTAATGATATACATACACACACATACCTTTATGATGTAAATAAGCATAATAATATGTAACATCATATGTGCCCGAAAATCTATGAATTACATACATTGTATTAATAATAAATTCGTTGGCAAGATATCATTAAAAATATTGAAACACACAAAATTAATCCTTGAACTCTTGGTAGAGGTGTCCGTCGTGAAACATTATCCCAAACAGGGATATTCACGTGAGTATTATTAAGTGGCATAACACCCAAAGTAGCACATGCATCATGGATAACTGTTAATGCAGCCAAGAAAGCCCCAGCTGAATGACCCATCAAGTATATTTGGGAAGGATCTCCTCGAAATTGTCTGAATTTTAATCATACAAGTTTAAAGAGATTAGATTATGTAAAGATGTCTGCAACAATTAAAACAATAATAAAGTTTAAGGTGAAAGTCAAATACTTTATAATAAATTACCGTATATGTGAATGGGTCCAATGAATTACTTGTTGAACATCAAAAACCATCTCTGCGATTTTTCCCTAGAACAATAAAAAATGTAATAAGAGAAGACTTTAGTCAAAACTGAATCTTTAAAATGCTATTGATGTATACTTGAAAGATTACTATACCTGTGGGTATAATGTGATATTTGGTACGACGACAACATAACCTTGACTTTGAAGATTATGAGCCACTGGCATGCATGTTGATTTATTTCCTGATAATTTGGTGTGATAAACACAGATTAACAAAACACATGATGATGCATTAATTGCATTGCATTACAACTATTACCAGAATTCCACGAAGTGCATATAAGAATTATAACAGGAGATTCCGACTGATGAGCATTAGGGCTTGGCAAGTTTGTTGAATTTGGGTGTAATATTCCTTCTGTGAATCTTTTACTATTTTTGATCACTGTTGTGCTCACATGATCGGGCAGGTATACGTCGAGACGATTTCGAGGTCGCAGACCATATCGTAGATTTTTCCTGTTTTTTATTGTGTTTTTAATTTAACAAACTAAAAATAATATAAAATTCAGTTTCAGTTTTCTTTAATACCTCACTGAAGTTCTTTTTCTATTTGAAGAAAGTTTATGCCAGCAGTATTGAACTATGGACGGTATAAAAGGACCCGTCAGGTTTTCGTAGAGATAATTTAATAAATAAAAGGAGACCTTGAACACTCGCCACGGACTGAGCGGAACGAGTGGTTGGTCAGCAGGTGCGTCAGTTTGTGCTAAAGTTTTTTTTTTGGCCAATTATTCGTTTAGTCAAGTTTAAAGTCAAAATTCACATATTTAGATTATAAAAAATGAACTTACCATAGAGTATATAAAAGATCCAGGTGATAGCGTAAGAGATAACTATATTCCAAAGAGGATATACATTATGAATTTTCAAATATCAAATAGCAATCTTATTCATTTATTAATTTATTCTTACATGCAGCCACTGACACCACGGGAAAAAATATCCATAATGATAAAAGTATAAATATTTTCTTAAATGTTTTTCTTTCCATTTTCTTTCTATTTGAATGTTTTTTAACCCTTGAGAGTTCAAAAAACGAATAAGAAGTTTTTCTCGACTGGCAAGAATAATTTATTTTATTAATAGAATTATTTCAATATGTAATGTATAAGATGGGGATTGAGTTAATGGAGGAGGAATAATTGTTTGAAAAAGGTTAATATGGCGACTTTGAGAAACCAAACAGTCTTTTAGTTTCAAGAGCAGAATAGCAAAAGCACCATATCAACTTTCTTTATCACTATATTATATTATATGTTGTAAAGTCAGGCACATGCTTTTTAATTATGAAATATTTATTAGCACAGTATAGAATTACACTGAACATTTATATATATATATATATATATATATATATTTATCTATCTCTCCATATCAGGGTATCTCGCATTTCAATAATGGAGAGAGAGTGAATAGTGAATGATTATGTATTTTCACGAGTAAAAATATGAATTGTACCACATAGTGCCTGTAGTCTAATAAGACCGGATATTTGTTTGCTGTATCGCAGAGAACTTTGGCGCACGCCGAGAACTATGTGTGTATGTATGCATATTACCAAATCATTGACGCCAAATAGCATTTACAGTCGAGGAAGAAAGGAGATTAAAATAATTCTGCAACGACCCCTTTTTTATTATTTAGCCCATTGTCTACCATCTCATATGTATGTTGATTTAACAAAAAATCACGGGGAAGTTCGTCATTTTTTGAATATCTCAAACGATGACATTGTTTTATGACTTTAATGATTGTTATTTTCTTTTTGTCAGCTCACTATTAATACAAATCACTATCAGAAATGGTAAAGATGTAAAATTCTCACTTCAGTAACAAAAAAAGTAATGGCGTCAATCGTTGACGAATTGGGAGAATAAGATGCGCATATTTTTCCCACGATCATTTCACGGAAAAATTCAAGGTGATTAAACTCGCGGATTAGGATTGTAAGTTGAATGAACGCATGTGTGTTTGTGTGTCTGTGCGTGGTGCTTTTTCTTTATTTGAGAATTTGTATGTATCTTCGGTAATCTTTTTAAAATAACATGTATAACATGTGAAAATATAAATCTATGCTATAACTTCCTTTTTCATATTCACAACGTGGGTTTTTTAAAAGTGAGTGGTATGATTTTTTAATATCACGATCAGCTAATCCAACCAATTAGAAGAAAAGAAATTGATTAGTTTATTTTTGCAGATCTTTTAATTAATGGGCGCTAAAAAATGTCACGTACTTCACACATTCGAAGGGTCTTGGAACAACCTACGTTCAATAAAGTGACACAATGCCGGATTTTACTGGTTGGCGCTGGAGGAATAGGCTGTGAGTTGTTAAAGAATCTAGTACTCTCAGGCTTCAGGCATATTGAGCTGGTATACCGTTCTTTATCACTATTTCATAATACGTGAGACCCTTGAATAAGTGGAAGATTTCCTTTATATATATAGGTTGATCTTGATACTATTGACGTTTCCAACCTTAATCGGCAATTTTTATTTCAGAAGCAACATATTAATAAATCTAAGGCACAGGCAAGTGAATTTCACATAAACTATTTTATCTTCTTTTTTTTCATTATCACCTATTAACATTTTGATAACTATAGATTGCCCGTGATTCTGCATTAAAATTTAATCCTGACGTTGAAATTATTGCACACCATGCAAATATCAAAGATGCTCAATTCAACGTTGAATGGTTTCAAAGATTTGATATTGTGATGAATGCGTTAGATAATCTTGGTAAGTCATATTAAAATGATTAGTTGTTTAGAATTTAAAGATATATAACGATTCGACTTTTAAATAGAGGCAAGAAGACATGTAAATTTTATGTGTCTGGCTGCAAATATACCGCTTATTGAATCAGGAACTGAAGGATATTTAGGACAGGTCACTGTAATAAAAAAGGTAAATAAACATATTTCTAATAACTATATTTTTATTAACGTTCTACTTTCAAATTCTGAGTAGGATTTGACCGAATGCTATGATTGTCAATCAAAACCAACCAGAAAGACTTACGCAGTTTGCACGATTCGAAGCACGCCGAGTAGCCCCATTCATTGTATCGTTTGGGCTAAAAATTATCTTTTTAAGTTACGCGGTTAACTATACTTTTCTACCGGACTCTTATGACATTTACAAGTTTGTAAACAAACGCTTTTTATTTTTAGTCAATTATTTGGCGAGCCAGAAGATGAACCTTTGGATAATGAGATGAATAATGATAATGGTATAAGGATTCCATCATAGCATATTTTAAATTGTAATATTCATTCGATAATTCATTAAGCATTTTTTCTGTAATCTCAATTTTAAAGCCGAAGAAATTCAAATTCTCAAGAGAGAGACTGAGCTGCTGAAAGAGATTAAATTGACGATGGGATCTCAAGAATACGCTGAAAAAGTTTTTAAAAAAGTATTTACAGATGACATTGAACGTCTTCTGACAATGGAAGACGTGTGGAAAAAACGAAGGCCTCCAGTGCCTTTAACATATAATGATATAAATAAACTCTCATCAAATGGAAAGAATGGCAGGGATTACAATAATGACATGAACACGCTCAAAGACCAGCGGATATGGACTCTTGAGGAAAATTTTAATGTATTTGTAGATAGGTCAGATTTGAATATTTCGAAATTTTATGGAGGATTAACTCGTACTATATTGATTAATTATCTAGTCTTCCGAAAATTGCTCTCGTTAAATATACTGTTATCTTATAAGCAATTTTTTATTATTACGTTACAATAGCATTAATCGCCTAAGTAGGAGATTACTCGAAGAACAAAAAGTTAACCCGGAAGCCGTGCTTGCATTTGATAAAGATGATGATGATGTCTTGGATTTTGTAACAGCAACAGCTAATTTGAGAGCCAAAATATTCGGAATAGAACAAAAGTCAAGATTTCAAGTTAAAGGTTGACTAACTAGATTTTTATTTATTCAAATGCTTTATATATTTGGATGAATTCTCAAAATTTTATAATGATAATCAGCTATGGCGGGCAATATAATACCAGCGATCGCAACGACAAATGCTACAATCGCCGGGATTATTGTTGTGCAAGCTTTTAACATATTAAGAAATCGCTTGGAAGACTGTAAAACGGTAACGATAATTGTTATGCTTGATGTGCTTTCTGACAATTCATTTGTCTCGAATACTAATTTTTTATTTTCGATCTGCATACAGACATATTTGGATGGATCTAGACGTCCTTGTCTGCTCATCAACGAGTCCTTAAACGGGCCAAATCCATCTTGTTCGCAATGTAGAGTTAATTATTACATATTACGAATAAACACGAAAAAGGCAACTCTTAAAGATTTCTTGGAGAAGATTCTAAATAGTAATCACGAACAAGGATTAGCTTATGGGAATGAAGTAACAGTGGAGAAAGGAGCTAGGTTTGCTACGAAAATATCGCCTTCCTGTTTTAATTGTGCAGCAATTTTTAATCTTTTTGTGATTTATTTAGCATCATATACGATATGGATTTTGATGAAAAGCTTGATTCCACCTTTGAACAATTGGACATCACAAATGGAGTTTTTATTAAAGTGACGCCTGATGATGATTCGAATCAATTTCCTGCTGTTTTTAACATTTTTCATAGGTAGAATACATATTTACTTTCGTGAGCTTTCTAGATACTGACCTATATTTCTTTGGCATAGGGAAACCTTTGATTCACAAGATTCGTGGTATACAATTGAAGGAAGTATTTCTGAGACTCACGTATCTCATATCAAGACAAATAGCCAAAACACAGTGACTGAATCTATACCAACTCATAAAAGAAAGATCGAGACAACTGACATGGAGCTTGATGAACAGCCATCTACATCATATAAAAAGATGGAACTTGATCCGGAATATATTGTAGTGGAAGACGACATAATAATGACAGAAGATGGGCCCAAAAGTGTTATAACTCTTGATTAAGTTTTTTTTTCTTCAGTAGTATCCTTAAATTAACTAATCTTTTCATGAGACGTTACATCTTATAAATACATATAAATATGATACGTAAATCTTGTCAGAGATTTTCTCTACGGAAATATAAATTTACTCGCAAAATTATATGGGGACTTCAACAATTCAACCAATATAGATTTAATAATTTGATATTCAAAACATTAACAACTATCTTTTTTTGTAGTTTGTTCTATGAATTCATTTGATTATAAATAAAATAGATACTGTCATTCTTCTAGAGTGACAGTAGCTATCAATCACATAAATTTATGCATAACTGTTTCGTTTAATCAGCTAAGAGTAACTTTTAATTAAGAATATTCGCAAAAAATACAGACAATACTTACCTTACAATCAAAAGTATTCGTCCGTTGATCGTTCTATCCGTTTTACTAAAGAAGGCAATAGTGAATTTGATCATAATATCAAGATAGAGAAGATGACTACAATTATTGCAAGGAGTCGTATTGGTGTGTATGTGACTACGACGATAAATTGAATATTGCAATGGACGCGGAAATTACAAAAAATTTTGCTGACATTAATTGCCGGGGTTGCATTTTTGAACTGAATTGAACAGTTGCAATTGAAAATGGAGCTGACACGTCCCGCTAATGACGGTGATATGTTTTATTTTGTTGAAGTGTACGTGCTGTATGTAGTAGTAGTTAGCTGTCACAGGGTGAGATGTAGTACAAGTCGAAATTAATGATGATGATGATGTGATGATGATGGTGTATGTATTGTTTGATTTGTGCCTTTGCTGTAATTACTGAAGCTAAGTTGATAGAGATGAAATGTGTGTTGTAAAGGAAGCGTGCGAAACTCAATAGTAGTAGACCTAATTTCTGTGTCGAACGCGAAAGATAAACAATAATACTGCAAAAATTAATAAACTAAAAACAAATTAGAAATTATACACTGCTCATTTTCTATAGGTAGTACACAATGAGCAAATCTAGTCTGCCAATATTCGACGAAAATTTGTCTCTGTTTCTTTCTTTTTAATAAGGTGATCGTGGACGCGCATATGGATCATAACGGGCTGCTGGTGGTGGTCGGCGATCTCGGTCATAAGCTCTGTCATAGCTTCGATCATAACCTCGTTCATAACCTCGATCATATCCTCTATCGTAGTAAGGTCTATCATAAGCACGATCATAGTAAGGATCCCGGCCATAGCCTCTCGGAGGTCTTTCATAACGATCATAGGATCTGTATTCATATCTAGGATCAAATCGATCGACTCGACGAGGTTCTGTATAAATTTATTTATTTATTTACTTACAATTAAGAAATTTATATAGACAATCCTATTTCGATTTTGCAGCAAGTAATTTAATTATAATACCTCTTCGTTTTGGTGGTCCGTAATATCGGCCAGGAGTGGGAGTCCTAGCCTTAGAACGACGCGCCTTATAAAAATAGACAATTAATAAACATATTTATAACACCATTATTTTTGGGAATATAAACGACAAAAATAAACTCACTTTCTCTACAGTCACAACACGCCCATGGATTTCTGTACCGCTAAGACCCTCTTTGGCAGCATCAGCTTCATCAGTAGTCTCCATAGTGACAAAACCGAAACCACGCGATTCACGAGTATGAGGATCGTACATAATTTGCGCTTTAGATACCTGCAAAATTAATCAGACCTTTAAAAGATAAGCAAAATCTATGACAAAATCATTGTAGAAGTTACCTTGCCAAATTTCGAAAAATATTCTTCTAGATCACGATCCTCGGTCCTAATCGAGAGACCAGTAACGAAGAGATTATTGCCAGGATTGATATCGTCTTCTTCCGAACTTCTGACAAGAAAGGTTAGAAACTGACATTATAATAGTAAATAACTATAAATTTAAATAGCCAATACCTTCTTTCACGGGGCGAGCGAGAAGCCCTGCGCAGAGACCGTGAACGAGATCTGCTAGGTGGACTTCTCCTGTCATCACGTCGATCGCTATGACGATCTTCGTGCCTTTCGTCGTGATGACGGTCCCTGTGTCTATCTTCACGCTCTTCACGATGCCTATCTTCGGTTATATGCCGGTCACGATGTCTTTCCTCATGACCTCCCTGAGAAAAGCTATCAGAACCATTTTGGGCTGCAAAGAAAGAACAAAATTAATTTTTTTTTCATTTTTCATTTATTTCCAAAAAGGTGCTTACCATCAGCTTCACTCATGTTAAAGACGGCAAGTTTATAGCAAGTATAGTATATATGATAAAGAAGTAAAGTTTTACGTTATAAAAAAATTTTTAACTAAACCTATATTAAAATTCTTCGAATAAAGGTAGACAGAATGACTTTTTGAAACAACGTGAAAATTTGATGGCGATAGGGGTAATATTAATTAGTATTGCTATGCCGGAATCTTTTCCGTTATATTCCTTGTTCGGGAATGGTGGGGAAAGCTGAGCCACAAATTTCTCACATGATTGTGTCGAGAATTCTCACAAAAAAAATAAGTTTTTTGAACGCGACATGTGTCAAAAATATCGTAATGCAGTATTTTGTGTCTCTCTGCAACTTTAATAATAAAGGAAATATATGTATTTTACAGAAATTTTTTCAAGCGAAAAAATTTAATTATTTGAAGTTAAATAAACATCTTCGTTTAAAGAAAACCCAACAGCGCATCCATTATCATCAATATTCTCTGAACAATACTTTTTCTTGTCTTCGAGTGCATAACAGAGTATTAAGACCTTTTAATACATGTTTTTCTAATTACCGGCCATTACAAGTTCTTTTTGATTATCAGGTGAGAATTTTTCCAAAAAAAAAACATTTAAGCACATCAAGTTATGTAGTAAAATCAAATGAACATGTGTCATTAATGAAAGCAAGTGAATCGATCTTGGATTTCAAATCAGAAAACATCGAATCCATAGAATTATCTTCAAATGTTATACAAGAAACTAGTAAATCAAGCGGTGATATAGAGCAAAATAAAAAATCCAGCATTAATTTAGAACATGAAAGGGACAATAGCAGTTTAGAAGAAAGTGTTCCTCCTAATAATGATTCAGATGAATCAGGATTATATGATAAAGCGCCATTAAATAGATATCACCCGTATATTCTGACAATGCAATTGGCTATCAATCGTGAAAAATGTAAGCCTACAGGTCCAGAGATGCTAAACATATTCCTAAATATACTTAGTGTTCCTGGTCTAGTGAAATATGTTATGCCACGAGAGATTGAAAAAATGATGATAGGTATTGGGAGAATGAGGCGTCTTGGATTATATGAATTATTAGTGGATGAAGGAGTCGAGCTTACACCTTTTGCTTATACGAAAATGTTCATCACCTACCTGAAGACTCGTAATGGTCGAAAAGCAGGTGAATTGCTCGAGAAAATGAAATTACTTGGAATTGAGCCTGATTCTTTTCAATACAATAATGTGGTGAGAACGAAAATCGAGAATTGTCGAGAGCATGACGTGGAAAATGCATTACATTACTTTAATGAAATGACATCAAAGAGACATCAACCTGAATTTCCTTTGTATTCAGCTATAATTCATAGGCTTGTCGAATTGCGTAGAGCTAACGAAGCAGCAAAGTTATGCTTTGAGATGGTCTCTAAAGGGTTGACTGCAACTGATATCGCTTTTCCTGATGTTAACTTTTCGGATATATTAGACAACCAAGGAAACATTAGTATTAATATTGACAATAATAATAGTGACAGTAGTGATATCACAATAGCGGAGGAGGATAATGAAACTAAAATGAATAAAATGGAAAAGGCATTGATAAAAACAATTTATAACATTTTAGTTCGAACCTTAATCAGCAAAGATAAATTAATCAGAGCTACAAAGTTTTACGTCTTTTCGCAACAAATTACGCGCAGTCCACCGGATGTTTCACTTTTGGAACTGTTAATCGAATCCAGCATTAAATTCTCAAGATATGATATTGCCTTGAAAGTACTGGATACTCATTGGAAAAATCATGATATTTCATATTTGTATGTAAGAATGATCAAGCACTGTGTGGAATTAAATCTGCTCAAAGAAATAAACGAGTTTTACATGCAAGCCAGAAGATTAAGGATTTTGCTACCCAGTGATTTTTATCCATTTCTTCTTACAAACTATCTTGATCGAGGATTTTTAAGAGAAGCTATTCAGATTTATCTGGATGGAAGAAAAAGGAAGATAAGATTTGACATTGATATCTATAATAAGTTATTGAAAGGCATGAAAAAAGATCAGATGCTTAAAGATTTTATCGTCCGAGATATGATAAATGCTAAAAAGAAACCCACCGCAGCTACTTATCATGCTTTCATGGAACTATCGACTTCAAAAAAAGAGACGAAATCAGCATTGAAAATCTTTGATTTCATGGCAAAATCTAAACACGAAATACAACATATCACTTATCGACAATTGCTTAAAGGGTTTGCAGGAATTGGAGATATGAAAGGTGCCAATAGAATATTCGATTCTATGTTGCAATCTTCTTTCAAACCTACAATTATTGATTATAATTTAATGTTATACGGATACAGTCAAATTTCAGCGGACAGTGCTAATAACATATTTCTTGGAATGTTAGAAGCTGACATTGTGCCCGATGTGACTACTTTTTCAATATTGATTGCTGCTTATTTGGAAGCTGGCAATGTAGCGAAGGCTTTTAGCCTATACGAGGAAATGAAAAAACGGAGAATAAAACCAGACGTACGAGTTCTCAATGTGATTATCGATCATCGCTTAAAGACTATTGGGGTACATGGCGCGACAAGATTTTTTTTCGAACAGTATAAACAAATGGAGGTTGCGCCGCACATTAGTACTTTAATGATTCTCTTGCATGGGGCTTACCGAGAACAAGATTTAGACTTTACTTCGTTATTTTATCGAGAGATGAGAAAATACGGGTTCACCTTACAAAATAACTTTTTATATATGGATCTTTTGGAATTTTTTTTGTCAAATAATCAAATTTCAGAAGCGAATTTAGTTCTTGAAGATATAGATTATTATCGCATCGTTAGCAAGCTTAATTATGATAAAGACGATTTGGCAGGGAGGAAGTATCGTGCCAGAATGCGAATAAAACAAGCAATATCAGAGAATAATGCTGAAGCTGCATTAGCTTCTTTACAAGAGTTAAGAAGAGAGGAAAAGAATGGAAAAAGAGGCAAAAATTCTGATTAATCAAAAAAGTAAAGACAAGAATGGGAAATGAATGACAATTATATTGAGGAAACTGAAAATGAAAATAATGCCACCTTGTTGGAATCATTACATATTGATTGATGACTATGGATTTATTGATAAATACAAGACATTAGGTATAATATGAAACTAGTGATAATTTATTAGACAAATAACATAAAATTATAGAAGCTATAGATAAGGTGGATGTATTACATTGTTCAACTTCAATTTTTTCTGATTTTATTTGTTTACAATTAATTATCTCAGCATCCTGTCTCTATTTCTGCTTCTGTTTCTATTTCTGCTTCGGTCCCTGCTTCGGTCCCTGCTTCTATACCTGCTTCTGTCTCTGCTTCTATTTCTGCTTCTGTCTCTGCTTCTATTTCTGCTTCTATTTCTGCTTCTGTCTCTGCTTCTGTCTCTGCTTCTGTCTTTATCTCTGCTTCTGTCTCTGTCTCTGCTTTTGTCTCTGCTTCTGTCTCTGCTTCTATTTCTATTTCTGCTTCTGTTTCTGGTCCTGTTCCTGTTCCTGCTTCTGCTTCTGCTTCTACTAGCAGCACCTCTATTTCTATATTTATCCAAGAATTTGTCAATTTCTTTATCTCGACTCGCCCTACTCCTATCTTTATCTGAACTTTCATCTTGTTCCTCCGTCTCCTCACTTATCTCAGCCGCTTCTTCCTCTTCTTCTTCCTCCAAATCTTCCTCGAGTGCACTTATCCGACGCGGAAGTTCGTCATTTTCCTCTAATACATATCGCTTGGAAATGCGTGGAAGTATAGTATCACAGACACGCTCTTCACGCAACAATTCATCAATAAATTCATCCATACATACTATTTCGAAATCGCCACCTAATACCAAGAAATATTAAATTTGATTTCAAATTGATATGAGAGAAACAGAAATTCATTAGGTACCTGGATTTCTTCTACGTAGTTTACGATAGTCATTCAAAAGTGGTTCCAGATATTGGTAAATTTCAAGCGAGGTTCCGACAAGACGCAAATAGAATGCTCCTAAAGCTCTTAAATATCTATAAAAAAAATTAACATCATCGTTTATATAGATTATCTATTAGTTAATATATAACTTTCTGAATTAAAGGACTCACTTGTATTCTTCGGTCCGAATGAACTCTATTATAATGTCTTTGCTGGGCTGTAATTGTAGCAACTTTAGCGTGAGACAGAGGAACTCTGTTGGCTTCTGATTACCATATTGTCCGCCATAACTTGTCAATTCGATTGCTCTGTCAATAAGAGTCTCAGCTAACAAGATGTAACAAGGTCAAATCTCAATGCCGAATATGAGTAATAGTTAAATTTTAGTTCTATTCCAACCTGTTAAACCGAAACAAGATTCTTTCCAGTATAAAGAGTCGTATATCCTGGACCTAATTATCTTTTCAATAAGGTATTGTGGGTTTGTTCCATGAACTGCAATTGCATCAGAAACTGTGCGATTTGCCATAACTAATCGATGAACTTTCAACGATATTGATATTTATATTCATGAGTGAAGACAAAAAATCAAAGCGATTAAGCTAAGCCGACAGCTTTATAAACAAGGTGCTTTTAATAGTAAATATTAAAGTTCACTATACTAAAATTAGGGAAATATGCAAATGGCTAAGTTAATTTCTACAACATATATTTTATATATATATATATATTAACCATTTTTATGTTACTAAATAGCCTGAAGAATCAACGCGTTTTTCGAAGACATCTCTCACAATGCCAAGCATCCACCACAACTTGCATTTCGTCACCGAATCCCACGCACCCTCCATGAAACCACGTTGAGCAAGTATCACATGCAATCATGAATTTATTATTATCGATGTTTGGATATTCACATATACAATTGATTACTTCTTCCTGTGTTGTGGCAGTAGTAACTAGAGGAGGCGGAGGCAATTGGAATTGTACGGGCGGCAAAGTTGATGTGGATGTGACAGGTATAGTGGAGGCAGATTTCTTCATAGGTAGACGGATTTTTATCTTGCCGGTGCTTGCAAGCGGTGTAGTTTCTGAGTTTATCAACGGGGCAGATGGTTTTTCATGTTTAGTTTTGGATGTTTTTTCCTTTTTAGGTTTAGTTGATTTTTTTCGTGATGGTAATTGAGGTGGCGAGTGAATTTGTGATTGTTGAGGTGTTGGCAATGTTTGAGGAGGAAAAATTGATGGTGAATTGGAAAAGTCGGTAGGTTTGAATCTTTTTGATTGTTTATTTGTTGAGGGAAGTAAATTTGCTGCTTGTCTTGATTTTGAACGTGAGGTTGATGCTATATACGAAGTTGATTGAGATGATACCGATGTCGAAGCTAAATGTAGGTTAGTTAGATTTGTAGTATCAATTGTATTCTTAAGAGATATTGTAAGAGGCTTCGATGAAGCATCTTCACTTGAAAATGACTCGCCTTCATTACCGTCTCCAACAATATCGATCATCATTTCTTCGGTAGCAATTTCAGGACGAGATGCCCCGCTTGTTGCTGTTGGAGGTCTAGTGATTTTTATCATGGGAAGTTGAAGTTCTTGAGGTATTAATTCCGGCGGCGCCCTCATTTCTTCTAGATCTTCGAAAAATCCATTTTGTGACGAGGAAAATATTGTTTCTCCTGGAGGAACGGACGAAAAAGACTCCTCAAATTTTCGCTTTTTCTTTTGTAAATCTGATTCAATTACTGCGCCTGTTGACACTGAAGGAAGAGATTCATGCAATGTAAAAGATTTAAATGCATTTTCGATATTTTCTGGTGCGAGCAGTTTTAACGGATCAGAAGTAAATCGGGCTTGTGATCCGTTGCTTTTCCGATTTGCTATTGTTAAATTATCTTCATTAATGTTTTTGGATATAATTGGCTGCATATTTTCATCAACGTCAACATTTTCCATTTTCTTGGAGAATTGTTTTTCATCAATGTCATCATCATTTTTATGGTTCTCGTCAGATAATGTCTCTGTTTCCTCCGTTTTAGTATTGCCCTCTTTTTCTTCAGAGATGTGCGATATTGGGTAACCTTCTGGAAAAGGTGGTAAATAGTTTGGTATATAAGAAGGTCCAGATCTGACTTCTAATTGCCTTTTTATTTTATCTTCTTTTCTTAGATCCGGTTTTTCATTTTCCGATTTATCATTAACGCCACTATCTATATTCATATCTTCCACTTTGTCATAAACTTCTTTTGACATTAACTCCTCTGAAATATTAGAGGGTAGTTTTGAACCCTCGTTATTTGTATTATCGACGTTATTTCCTGGTATTACCCCATTTGGTGGTGTAGTAGGTGCTTCTCCGAATAAATCATCGAAATTTTCAATAGAATCATCGTCGTCTTCCTTTTCTTGGTCTTTACCACCTTTCATCGATTCATCAAGAAAATTTTTATTAAACCTGTTCAAACTGAGTTTATCCTGGCTAAATATTTTCTCTTGGGTACTTTTACTTATAATACCGAGCTCTTCTTTGTTTGTGTCAATAATAGAAAATCTTTCTTTAAATACTAACAGTAGTTCGTCCGCAGGATCCTTTGATGCACCAGTTGCAAGCAAATCTTTAAGAAAAAAAATTGATTAATCAAATACAAAATAATTAAGAATTTCTAAGCCATAAAGAATAATACCTTTTATAACAGGCGTTGGATCAGGTCCACCCCACTTATTATAATTTTTGGTTTCACGCTCCGTTTCCAACCAGTCTTCCAAATCTTCAACTTTTATCCCTAGTGTTTCAAAGGTAGCCTTTACATCAAACGCATTCATTTTGGTCCTGCCCGCATGCATTCCGTGGTTTTTGGCAGTCTTTCCCAGCAGTTCCAGGTAGTTTCCAAAAACGTCTGTTAAGACGTCGGCACTCATACTAGAAGTTTTATCAAAACCTGCCTGTTGGATAAGTTGAAGTGCTGCTAAACGTAATACTGAAGAGCAAAATCGTTCCATTGCACAAATTACTTGAGAAACTAAAACCCAATTTTTTTAAATGATCTAGATTAACGATAACGAATTTCTTAAAAAGAATCTACCAAGTGCAAAGAGATTTTTACAATTAATTATCTTTTATTAAAAAAATACTTGTTTACTTTCTATAATTGATATCGAATTAAGCTGGAAACAAATTTTTTATATCAAATTAAATTCATCTCAGCATATGTACAATTTTGAGTATTTCCAAATACAGTGCAGTCACAGTTGGACCGGAAAATTTTGTCCTTATAGAGGTGATTTTAATATATGTGTACCAATTCAATATCCCAGTGGTTGTTCTTATATAGAGTGTTCTTTAGAGAGGTGCATAAATCTAAATATTTTTTGTGCTGAACTATAATTTGATCCGTTAAAGTAGTATCATGTGACACATAATTCGATCCAGGATGATTTGTGTGAGTTTTAATAAGAACGATCCATGGGAAATTTTTAATCATGTAAATAATTAAGCAAAATAATTACATCAGAATTTTTTTAATTTTTTTTAAATATAATCATAGTAGAAAATCAAAAAATCATAAAAAAACAAAATTTAATAACTAGTCAAGAAATTGCTATATTTACTTCTTCAGAAAAGCATGAAATCAATTATAATTTGGTCAAAGAATTTATATGAAAATGATAAAATTTAAAAAATTTTATTAAGATTAAATTTAATCTAGCTAATTATGAAAATATAATTTATTTAATTTTTATAAAATAAAATTAAAAAATTAAAAAAGAATATTTCTATTATTAATAAGAAAATAATAAATTTTTATAATAATAATATAGTATCAGAATTCAGTGGAAATAACATAATTATGTTATTTTCACTTAGTCTAGATTATTTCCAATCAGATATGTGTCATGATCCAATTTTTATAACACAGACTAAGGTGTTATAATCTAATTTTTATGACATAGATTAAGATATCATGATCCAATTTTTATGACACAGACTAAGGTATCATGATCCAATTTTTATGACATGGACTAAGATGTCATGATCCAAATTTTATGATATGGACTAAGGTATCATGATCTAATTTTTATGACATGAACTAAGATGTTATGATATAATATATACTGTCATTAGCTTACATGGGCAAAAAATATGCTAATAATGCATTCAGTCACATGTCATTATTTGCAGGTCCAGTATGAGAGCTATATCCAAACTGGACATGTAGTATCTAGCTTTCTGATTAATTTCTTGATAAGAACCAAGTTTAAGGCACATAGTACCAAATCATTAACATAATTAATAATATATCAAAGTATCTGATAATAAGATATGTAGTACTGAATTACTAACTATTATAATTCATTTGAATATTATCCAACATAGTACCAAATTATTAATATATCTGATAACTTACTAAAGTATCTAATGATAAGATACGTAATGCCAAATTATTAACATATTTGATAATGTACCAAAGCATCCAATAATAAGATACGTAGTATCAAATTATTAACATATCTGTTAATATTTCAAAGCATATAATAATAAAATATGTAGTATCAAATTATTATTTCTATTTGGTGATACTATTATAAATTATATTCTAGAAGATAGATTTTACTATGAATATAGTTTATAATAAGTTTTGAGAGTGAAGACTGAATTATTTATAAAGATAAAGGAGATTACAATTATTCTAAAGATTTCCTAGTACTAATACTTATGAGTATTATATTAACACAAGGTAAAAATAAAATAAAATTATAAAAATGAAGTTGTAATTACAAATACTAAACTAAGAGGTGATATCAAAAATTAAGCAATAAATACTTAAAAACTAGCAACAAATGCTAAAATAATTACAACAAATGCAAATAAAACTAAGATAACCAATACCAAACAAAATAAAGATAACAAATACCAAACAAAGCTTTTGCATATAGGGAAGCTTACTAAATTTTTTCTAAATAAAGATAATAAATACCAAATTCAAGCTTTTACATGTAAGAAAGCTATCAAGAATCTTTTTAATCAAAATATAATCTATTATGATAGAAAAGGTAATTGAAAGTAAGATATCAAGATAAGTTCACAGGAAAAATTACAAAATAAGTATAACTCAAGTATTTTCAAAAGACAATTGAATTATTGCTATTCAAGTATATTTATTTCAGATCTCAAAGCA